GAATTAAAAGCTGTAAAAAAAAAAAAAATGGAGGTAGACATATCGAGTTTTGATATTGATCGTCTAATATCATTCAGTTTGAATACTAACTATAATAATATTAACATCCGCATTTGCTTCGCTATTTTGATACAATATATTATCAGATTTTGGTATTACTTCGAAATCATTATTTGAATAACATTATTTTGTTTGATTAGACCTGTTATTTTCAGACAAGTTTGTTCGTTTGAACAAACAAATAGTTTTTCCCGAGATAAAATAATGTTTCATTTCATTTTCTTCATTCGTCCCTACAATTAAGAGTTTCTGATTCTATTGTTAGTACAAATTTTATATCATACTAATATAATTTAAATATTTGCAATTTGCAGTAGATAAAGTTGCTTTTCCTATGAAATGATTTCTTACTTCGAATTTTTATTTTTTATTTTTTATCGTTCAAGATTTGCATCCGTTCGTTTTGCATACGCGACTGATATGTACGTATATCTACAGTTGACGAATGTTAGGTTTCAGCCAAGCACATTTGCAATTTCGAGTTTGTCAAGTACCACGTAAGATGCAAAAATATTCTCGAAATTTAATATCTTTGAATTGATTAAATCCGCAAGTGAGACACGATATTCTCTATCTTTTTTTAAAGAAAACAAAAAACTCATTTTTCCAAATCAAAGTTTTCATTCGCGAATAAAACTCCAAATAGTCCAAGAAACACAGACACTCGGCCAAATTTATTTTATTACCAGAGATACAATGTCGCACAGCGAAAAGTTCAATAATTTTGTAAAATTAATAAAATATACGTATTTAACATCTTAGAATAGAATTCCAAAAATTACGTATAAACAAACATTTGTCATCGCGTGTATCGTCTGTTGTTGTGCAAATTTTTAAACTTTCTTATGCTCGTCACTGTAGAGATCAGAATATATATATATAAAAGAAAAATACTAATCGTGCAAATACGCATCCACTGTATTCATCAAACTTTGGTCGACCCAGTCGCGTAAAGTTTTTATCTCTCCATCTCTCTCAGCTGTTCTTTCGCGTTTCATTTCCGCGGTCGTCTTCCCTTTCACAGGATCTCTGAAGAATCTTTTAAGCATATGCGCATTTAGTCTCTCCCTCTCTCTCGTTCTCGGTTGAACAAGAACAGCGAACAAACTACGCGATGCAAGAACAGTAAGGAGCAAATGACAATCAGAATGGCTTATTTTCTGCGCTATTGCGCACGATCGGCCGAGTCTACGCGACGAACACTCTCTCGAAGAAGCATCTGCTACTACTAGCTATCACCGCAGCGATTTCATCGATGAATTCAACGACGCATCGATTAAAGAAGAAAAGTAATTATCGTGGTTAGCATGGCTCGTTGGTTCACGCGTGCCCGCGTGATTACGCGAGACATTCCTGAAGAAAGCGAATTATCTTAATTTCAATCTTAATTTCACTCGTTAACGGATGTAACACTTGTTGTACTTGCAACGATCACGTGTACAGTACCAGACTGCGGGTTATTTTACGTATTTATAGAAAATTTTAAAACGCAAAACGCGTTGCTCGTAACGCCGAGAAAACTCGGCAAATGAAATATCCGACAGTACAGTGCTACAGTACAGCGGAACAAGTAGTTCCACCGAGGTTCTATTTTCTTTTCTTTTTTTTTTTGTCGTTTCTAACTTATCCTCAAAAATATGAATTTGCACAAAAATCCGCGGTTTAACGACAACAATAACGATCGGGACGAAACGTGTAAAATTCGATATTGAAGTGTTAGGACCAAAAATAAGCGAAGAAACTGATTTCTTAAATAAAGAAGATGATCGTCTATGCTCAACAAGATCGAGATGTGAAGGAAATTAAAGTTGACTGTACAATTTATTCTACCATTGAGCGTTTTGAACAAAATCTAGATCATCTTCTTCTCTTTCGTAGTACATCCATTACTAGCGATTATTAAACATCAAAATTATTAAAAATCAAGAACGCACCGTATCCCGAAAATCACTCCTTCATTCATAATACAACAATCACCATATACAACGAAATTGTTTCGATGCAAATTCTATTGCAACGTAATTTTAAACATGTCGTTTAATTAATCCTGCCAGAATCTTCCGTCTGAAACTACGCTAACGAGGCTAAGAACGCGGCCGAAAATCAAAGGATTACCCGTTTCGAAAAGGATCCTCGAACCGTGCGTGATCCATTGGCCCAGAATTTCCGTTCCGATAATTAAGTCTACGCGAGCCGACACGTGAAAAATCGGGCCTCTGAAAAGCCAACTTGGGCGGCGAACCCCACCGTTAATTAATAGTAAACTCCATGAATATGTTGTTAGTTCGTTAATTACTTCGAACAGCAACGATGAGCCCGATATAATTCCGCAATAACCAAAGCTTGACGTATTAATCTTCCAAAGCGTGTGCTCATAATTACGTCTCATAAATATCTCGCGAGACTTTCCAGCGCGGAGGCGGAGGTGCCCGACGTGGTCAAAGATAAAACTAGAACGTTTACGTATCATTCCCCCGTGGATACGCGGTAGCACAGCTTTTTAGTTACCTCGTTCTCGTCAAAGCGCACATCAGGTCCGTCATATTTGATACAGATGGATTTGATACCCATGACTGATTCACGCGATTCACAAAAGGGAGCTCGCGTTTTTTTTTATAAATTTACTTATTATCGGATTCGTGCGTGTGACGTGTTGTTGTTTTTTTTCTCTTCTATTTTTTGTTCTTTTTTTTTTCATTCTTGAAATGTTTTTCATTTGCAGCCTGTTTTAATTAAATCGTGCACGAGGATCTGGCAATTTTTCAGGATAATTTTTAACTATATTCGTAAACTTGCACGAACAAACGAGTCAAACGTTTTCGAACATTCGTAGTAATTAATAATCAACATTCGATATTTTTGTTACAAACGTGTCTGAACGTACATGATTTATAGCAAACGTATTCTTCCTTAATTTGGTTGATAACTGATAAACTGATCTGGTTGGCAATTGATGAATTCGACATTTCACGTGCATCGAATTAAGGACGACAAACAAGGACGTAACACAGCCATGAATTTCAAAGTGAATTTTAAGTAAATTTCTGCGTTTCAATTTATGAAGTTGATTAACATGACTACTTGGCAATTCACATAAAAGATGTCGTATAACTGCTGTGGTAAAACGGGATGTAGGGCGATCCTACTTGCAAAAATGGGTACGCGGAGAAAGAACAATATTTTTTTTTCATTTAAATCGGCTCGTTTCGGAGACAGTTGAATTTGAACATTTATCAGGTGGGTATGTTTGAATTCGGCTAGTGAATAATCGATAAAATTCTATGAAAAGGAAAAAGGTTATTTTACACGCGGAAGTGACTGACAAACGTAGAAAATAGATTCGTGTGATTGTAACATGTTCAATTGACAAATCCGTTGAATCAACAACTTTAATTTTCTAGGAAACGAAACGCTTCGCGAAGAATCCTCATCCTTTTTATTTATTTTTGACAACTCGTGTCCGGTCTGGAATTAATCAAATTCAAGCTTAATCTCCTCGGAAAGAAAAATTCCAATTTACATCAGCGAAATATTTTTCCATCGGTGAAAATTCTTGTTTTTAATTATCATGTAACCGTAAAAAAAAAAGAAAAAAAAGAAATGCATTTATGGTATATAGAAATATTATATATGTAATGTTTATTAGTTCTCATTCGTTAGAATTCGCAAAGTACACGTTTCACGAATTCTGTGAATATCGTGAACATGTTCGAAACATTTTTTACATGTTCATCGTTTTAAAAGTTGCACGTGTTGTCGTTCTAGAGAATTATAAGAGATATTACTGCTGTTGTTATTCTTTCTTCTCGATATATTTTTGCTTATAAAATCACCCACAAGTTGAACTACAACATTTTGTACGAAACGTACTACATTTTGTACAAAACGTAACGTTTTCGACTGGTCTGAGTAAGAGTAACATAATGAAGTCTTTAAAAGACAATTAGTTGTATCTACTAATGTGCATGACGAATTAATAAAATTTTATCTGCTACACATATCAACGGTGGATTATGATTAAGCCAACGCGCGATAACGTTTAATTTATTTTACTTTCTGCCGTTCACCTATAAATCACTTTGGTATGGTTGTTGCGCAACAAAATGACATAATACATAAATAATAAATTGTCAAGTTTCCTCGAGAAAGGACAAACAGTTAGTCGACGATTAAGTATTTCTAATAATCATTAACCGCAATTAACAACTTTAGTCGTCAATCTTAAGTCATTGGATATCTTTTGACCATTAACTGCGATTAAGGATAAAATTCTTACTTTAGTCGTTAATTGTTATTTTAATTGTCAAATCACTCCCGTCGATCAATAAGAGCTAAAATTCTTTTTCATATCGAAATTAACGTTTATTAAATGCTTTTTAAAGCATTTACGCAAGTCTGTGAACAATAAATAATATTAATGCCTAATGCAACGAAATAAACCATTTTATTATTGGCTGTTTATTTAACAAATTTTGAACGAGTTTTGAAATAATTAAACTTTGAATTGAATTAGTCTCAGCTCAACAATACATATATGTTTTATTTCGATTATTAACGCTTTATTGTAATTTAATATAATTGTTACAATTACCAAAGTATGTATACCTCAATTTAAATGAAATTATAATCAAACTCGACGTAATAACCAACGATTTATTAACGGTATCGCCGACGTTTCGACGATTAATTTCATCAATAGCAAACGTTAATCAGTCGACGAAACTGAAAATTTTAATCGATTAGTGCCCAACTCTGTCGCAGGATACCGCGACATATACTACTATGTAGTACTGCTGCTTGTAATCCAGTCATAATCGTTATCTTAATGATTTGTAACCACGGTGAAGCGCTTCCGGCTCGAAGCGAATGTGCCTGTTTTTTTTTTTTTTTTTTTTTTTTGCGTAATGCTGGAAACTGCATATTTCAGAAGGAAAAAGAAAATGAAGAACACGAGCTCGTTACAGCACGTGCGAGCAGGCAGTTCCCATTCCCGTTTTAAGATGAAAGTGCACCGATTCCGGTACTTTTTTTTTCTCTCTCTTCTTACTTTCAGTTCGCCGTTTCGCTTCGTCGTACTGTCGGCATGCACTCGCGTACAGGTAACGTAACGTAACGTAACGTACGTACTATACGTCGGAGCACGCGTCTCGTGTAAGCAAAGGTGAAACACGTTTCGCGTACCGAAAGCATAAACATACTACACGCATGGTATAATGACTTTTACCTGTTGGCCTACCCATGGTCAAGGCCTTATCGAACCACTTTCCCACCAATCCGGTCGCACGGATTGTGAGAGGGGCCTTCTCGTTCGATGCTTGTTAACACTTTGGTTCGCAGTGGGTTGAAAAATGTCTCGCTTTTTCTTTTTCTTTTAATGCGATATTTTTCTATCCGCGTCACGTTGAAAAATTGAAATACCTGGAAACAGAGAGGTTCGTGTTATGTTGCAATCAGGCTGTTTTTTTCTTTTTCTTTTTCGCGTTACAAATCATTATACGTTATTAGTCTCTAGAGATGATTCTACTTTCATACACTCTCGGCCCAAATATAGCATATACTCTAATAAAATTATTAAATTTCTTTGTATTAAACAAATCCTTCTTATACACGTGCCAGCCTTCCATAGCGCTTTTATCAACAAGTAATATGAATTGAACTTTTTGCGTGATACATTTTGTGTTAATAAAAAATGTACTTATTTTCGATAAATTCGTGTCGCATACGTGTTAATTTCTTCGTCAATCATTTCAACATACTTTTTAATATTTGATTTTCCTGCGATAAATCGACTCAGAAGTTGTCCTGCCCTTTCGTAATTGAATCCCTTTTCATCAGTAATATAACTATACACTTTGCCTTTTCTTATTTGTAGAAACGCGCTTCTCTACAAATTGCAAATGGCACAGCCCAAGCTCTTGCTTTAATCAAGGTTCTCGTTGCAATTTTTTTGTCGTTTCAGATGTTCATAATCTTTCAAAAGACGTCGAACATTGCTTGCAATTCCAGCTTTTTCTATAATTTGTCTCGAGCTTGAATTTGACAGTACATATATTCTAGCACGTTCCTTTTTCCATAATTATCGGGGTCTTGTTGCTAAATCCATCATCACTTTACTGTTCTGTTAACCATTTTTATCACGGGACAATGTTCTTCGTTTAATTTCAATATCGCGTGTACTTCAACTGGATTTCACTCTTTTCCGCGACCCATTTTTACAAATATTAATACGCATTTAACTGAACGATATTTCATACGAATATTACACTTCCGGTAGCTTCTGTACGACTGAGGGCCGTAAATATTCGGAATTGTTCGATTCTGTCTGCCTCGAGGCTACGGACAGTATTTTCGTTTTTGTATAGTTCTAAGAAATTGCAATAACATTCGATATAATACACATTATTAATGCACGCTCAAGGATATTAATGTTGTCTGCGCGTTCCCTTTACTTCACGATACATAACATAAGAAAATACAGAGTGTGTTATTTCTTGCCCCGGGGTGTATATTTCGCAATAAAATTTCTGTGCAATCTAGTATTTCCTTTTTAATAAAATTTATACTTGGAAGAGTTAGGGTGGAATTTATTATAAACATCAGACGCATACAGCTTGGTCAGAACTTACAATTTTGAACATTTGTAAATTCTTAATAAACGTGTAATTATGCATTTATTTTTTCGCATGACCAGAGATATATAGATATCTTGCATTTAATACACGGATTGGCATACTTATTTGTCGCCTCGTTACGATCAATTTTTGTTACGTGAGTAAATTGATTGCGTGTTTCGAGTATATTCTCTGTGTATTACAAAATTAATTGATCAAAACACGGACACATCAACTACACACACGATACAAAAAACGATAGAAATCTTCATCTTCAGGCTTGAAATCCTATTTTTATCAGTGTGCGAAACAAGTTTCAAACTCGTTGGCAATCAGCAACGATAAATCTCGATCGGCAAATCCGACGATTCCACGTAACAACGACTTCACGCATTGTTCCTTTTCTTTTCTGATCCGTAGGGGGGACGGCTGGTTCCGTTGTGGCGTCTAGGCTCAGCGATCTACCAGAATGGAAAGTTCTGCTGCTCGAGGCTGGGCCTGATGAGCCACCTGGTGCCGATATCCCGAGCATGGTCGCCATGTTTCTCGGTAGGTTGTGCGACGTTTCCTACCGTTCACACGGGAATCAATCGGTCGGTGTGTCGAGGTGAAGAAGATTCATTTGCTCTTGCTTTAATAGGCACCGAGATCGACTGGCAGTATCGCACCGTGAACGAGACGAACGCCTGTCTTTCGACAGGTGGATCGTGCAGCTGGCCGCGAGGTAAGAACCTCGGTGGCACTTCCGTTCACAATGGTATGATGTACACGCGGGGTCACGCCAGAGATTACAACGACTGGGCGGCGATGGGCAACGAGGGATGGTCTTGGCAGGAGGTGAGTCTAGAGAGAGAGATCGGGACCGATTGAAAAGGTCACTGTCGAATAAAATTATTAACCCTTTGCACTCGACTGTCCCTTCTCGAGGGAACATCGTACTTAAATCTAGCCAACAGCTTGGACTTCCTTCTTTTTATAATTTGCTGATAATTATAATGAACGTGTACATAATAGACGGTTATAGTGAAAGCTATAATAACAAGGACAAAAATTCAGTCAATTGACACTGATTGGAATAAGTCACACAATTCGGAATATAATTCACATAAAGACTTCTTATTACTTTTAGTGGCGGAGGATATTATTTTTCCAAAGATTGAAACTATGTATCATTAACTTTT